GCACCGGCGCAGGGGCGGGAAACACGTCGGGCGGCGGCGGGGGGCACCCGCCGTGGGACCATCGCCGGCCCCAGCCCCGCTCGCCTCCACCCGCCGGGAGCGGCCGCGGCGTCGGGCTCCTGCGGGAGCTCTCTCCTCGCCGGGCTGCGAGCCCTGGATGGGGGTTTGCAAAGGCGGTTTTGTCCCCGAGCGCCTGCGCATTTCTCTGTCCCGCCTTGGGATCCCGCACGTCTCCAGAGCTTACGCGCATGCTGCCCGTGGAAGGCACGGAATCTACCAACGGAAATTCTGAAGAACGAGTTAGAAAACACCCCTCAGGAGCGACACGAGCACAACAATCCCATCCCAGGGCATCCCAGGATGAGCTCTAGCAGCCGCCTGCACCAGGGGGGGTTGCACTAACCATTTCCCACCATACCTGTACCAGGCCGGAGAGGTCCCAAGCTGTGAAAGCCCAGGGCGGCACACGGAGACAGCTCCCAGCTGCCTGCTGGGGAGGGTCTCCCTCACCCACGGAGTGACTTCTGTGTGTGGGAATTTACAGGGCATCACCGTGGCCTGTGTGCAAGTGTCTATCCCATGGCTCACGCCACCATCCGCCCTTGAATTCCTTTCCAGGAGTCATGGAGCAGACACAGGCTATTGCGGCCGATCAGCTGCAAGATGGGAGGAGGAAGGCACAGACCCAGGCTGGTGGGGACAGGGCAGAGGGATATGGTTATGGTCAAAGGGATGTGTGACAGAAGGGTTAAGAGAAGTGACTTATCTTTCTGTGTGTGTAAGAAAGCGAGCACTGCTCACGGTCATCACCACTCCAGCAAAAGCCACAGTCACCCCTGCCATGGCACCAGAACAAGCTGAGTTTCCCCATCATCTGAATGAGACTGCTTGCTTCAGCTTTCCAGTCTTAGAAAGTGAAATTAAAAGGAAAAAACCCAGACTCTTTTGTTAAGAAAACTGGATATTCTTACTAAAATATTGAAATATTAGAAAATTGTGTTAGTGCAGAAGTTAAATAGATGCTTAATGGGTCACCAGGCAAAACTCTTATGAATTGCAGGTTGCCAAACTTGTAAAACAACTATTGTTTCAAATTAACGCACTATAAAATGCTTTAAAAGACAGATTTGTCTGCTGAAATTATTATAAAATGCCCAGAAACTGTGAAATTTGGAACATAACTTCTATTTAGAAAGACAGAAGACTTCTCAAGCCAGAAACTGCATCCTTATCATGTCTGTCTTCAATAGGCAAATTTCTAACACATTAGTATCATTCCTTTCTTTTAGCTGGGAAAAAA